CTGTGTATTTTTGACAGAATGATGGCCTCCAATCCATTTTGACAGTCCACTTGTGCATGATCAAGGAGGCTGCTTTCAATTTTCAGGACTTAGGCCTGGAAGCTGGGAGATCTTGTATGAACACAACAGAAAAACAGACGGAGGGAAAGAAGGTGAGAAATCACCAAAGCTGCTCATGGTCCATGGATTATTTAAGAACACCTGTGTTGCCTGAACACTTGACCTTGCTTTGCCCTGGATTATTCATAATGCTGGCATCGAGTCACCACTTGCCAGAAAATCGTACTGGGTTACTCACCATCACATGAGACAGGCCTGCCTCCAAACTGTGCTAAAAATTGCACGTATTCATAGGCCTTTGCCAGTTCACTGCCTATTTCCCAGCCATAAGGGTTTTGGTAGTTTGGCCTCCAGCCTTGTTGCTAACAGCACTCAACTGAACAAAACAACATCTCTTGTGAGCATGCTGGGGCACCAGCAGACAGCACAAAGTCAAATATGTCCCTGAGGACTTGCTCAGAGCTCTCAGAAAAGCTTACCTGGACTAAAATATGCCTTGGGTGACACTCAGCTGCTTCATATCAGGATACAACAGCCAGCTGAGGAAGCAAGAAGTGAAATTACCCACTAGATTTTACACCACCAGTCACTGACTTACCCTCAGTTTGTGTTGGAGGTCACTGAAATCTAATTCAGACCTCCCTGTCATCTCATTCTGAAATGATGCTATGGATTTGATCTTCTTGTTTCATAACTACATTTTGGACTCGCTTGATGGCTTCATGAACTCTCATGCAGCACTTTGACTCTGTCTTGGTCACAGCATAGTACTGTATCACATGAATACATTTTCCTCTTGGAGTTTTTAGTAAAAGAGTTCTGGAGGATGCAAGCCTGTTCTCCCTCAGGCTTTAAACCATCCATTCTTTCAGGACCATAATGCCAGCACCCTGGGGCAGTACAGACAATCCCTGGAAAGGACTAGCAAGAAGATCTGAAACATGCTTTCAAGTTCTACCCATTAGCAATTTTTGGTCCCCAATAACCTTTGGGAGTGGAAAGAAGAAGCAAATTCCCATAGCTTCATCCTAACAATAACCTAGGCTGTGTTGGCAGGCCAAGTAGTGGCCACTGTCTTTAAATGTATTAACTCTGCTTTTTAGAGAAATATGTGAGTCCTGACAGAATAGACAGAAAGATTTCAGAGTGGTTGTGTTATAATCCTATAAGCTTAGCTTATAGCATTACAGCTGTTCCAGATGTGGGTCACCATGTTCAAACAGGTACTCTTAATACCAGTTCCCAGAACCACTCAGGACTTGGAGCTTAATTTTCTTCAAGAGTTGTGGTTGGTTGACTCAAGTGGAAAGGTTTTGTTGATGAGTTCTATTACTTGCCATAAAGGACCTTAACTACATCTAAAAGACAGGAAAGCAACTGCATTCCTAAGCACTCTTTTTAAAAACTCCAATGCTTTAAGTAAGAACACTAAATATCTATTGAAGTTTCAAATTTGGAATGACTCTGCTCTTGGTAAATAAAGGCTTCCATTTTCCTGGTAGCAAAATGGAGATCTGGAGGATAGAGATGAGAAACATTTATTCATTAATCTCTACAGGTCTGCCTGGAGACCCAAATCTTAAGCACATGCTTATGTACTTGATTGAACACAGAAAAAACTTAAGTACATATTTAAGTGTTTTGATGAGTGTTGCCATATGAATTTCAACATGGATTTACAGATCTATGGCTTGACTGACAGACTCAACCCTTTCAAACATATATTATCTAATTAGTGCCTAAAGGGAAAGGCCTAGATATAGAACATTTGTCTTTTAGCATACAACTCACACAGCATTTCATGATGTCTTGACACTTATTAATTGCATTCAGTTTGAATATAAACACTGTCACATGATCCTTAATCGAGAATTGGCTGAAATACCATAAACAAAGGATTACAAGCACAGAGCAGGGAGGATGTGTCTCCAGGGATGCCACGGGGAATTTTGGTTGTGTCCAGTCTTGTTCTCAAACAATAAGGAAAACAGAATTATAAACAAACCAGACTTTATAGATGGTAAAAAACAGACATGAGAACAGCCATAAAAACAGAACCAGAAATAAATGAAAGAGAAACAAATAAGAGAGAAAGAGAAAGAAATAAGAGAGAAAGAGAAGAAAGAGAAGAAAGAGAAGAAAGAGAGGAAGGAAGGAAGGAAGGAAGGAAGGAAGGAAGGAAGGAAGGAAGGAAGGAAGGAAGGAAGGAAGGAAGGAAGGAAGGAAGGAAGGAAGGAAGGAAGGAAGGAAGGAAGGAAGGAAGGAAGGAAGGAAGGAAGGAAGGAAGGAAGGAAGGAAGGAAGGAAGGAAGGAAGGAAGGAAGGAAGGAAGGAAGGAAGGAAGGAAGGAAGGAAGGAAGGAAGGAAGGAAGGAAGGAAGGAAGGAAGGAAGGAAGGAAGGAAGGAAGGAAGGAAGGAAGGAAGGAAGGAAGGAAGGAAGGAAGGAAGGAAGGAAGGAAGGAAGGAAGGAAGGAAGGAAGGAAGGAAGGAAGGAAGGAAGGAAGGAAGGAAGGAAGGAAGGAAGGAAGGAAGGAAGGAAGGAAGGAAGGAAGGAAGGAAGGAAGGAAGGAAGGAAGGAAGGAAGGAAGGAAGGAAGGAAGGAAGGAAGGAAGGAAGGAAGGAAGGAAGGAAGGAAGGAAGGAAGGAAGGAAGGAAGGAAGGAAGGAAGGAAGGAAGGAAGGAAGGAAGGAAGGAAGGAAGGAAGAGAAAGAAAGAAAGAAAGAAAGAAAGAAAGAAAGAAAGAAAGAAAGAAAGAAAGAAAGAAAGAAAGAAAGAAAGAAAGAAAGAAAGAAAGAAAGAAAGAAAGAAAGAAAGAAAGAGAGAAAGAGAGAAATTTATATCTTCTTCTTCTCAGCTCGAAAGAGACAATATTCTCAACACCTTCTGCCCAAAGAGTTAAAGTAAATTCCAAGGATTATCCAAAGTATGCACAGAACTTCAGTAGAGACAGTTTCCCAATATCATACGGATCAGTAAAAACTGAATTACTCTCTCCAGGGAGAAAGGCAGAAGTAGAAAGGTTCTGTAAAACTACCATGTCTTCTAAAACAACTCCAGCAGCAGCAATCACACCAGTATAAACTCCCTTCCTGCCTCCCCTCCGTCTGCCAACATTCTTCCCTGAGGCTGTTCCAGATTTGCCATCTCCAACTCCATGGACTACAGACTTCAGTCATCCCAGCTCCTGTTACAGGTTGGGACTTGTTACAGAGGCAAGATTAACTTACTTTCTTGGCTTGGTCATGACATTTGGAAATTCCTTCCTTGCTCAAGCAATCAGAACCTGGGACCCCAGGATGTGACTGCCACCAACAGGCAGTGGAAGAGGTGGATGACACAAAAGCATTCCAGGGTTTTAAAGTCTCCTACAATATGTGTGACTTTGAAGGTGTTCACAAGAACATGGAAGATCCTTTGGAATTGAAGGACAAGAGCCTAAACTTGCAATGAAAACTAAAAGGACTGCAAACTCTGGCAACGTCTTTCTGAACAGAATATGTTCTACCCTTCAGCTCAGAGGGAGCCAAGTGCTGGAGCACTGTGTGTTTGTAGAGCTGCAAGAAGTTAGTCCAAACACATTTTTTCACATTAGTCTGGCATTTGCTAAAAGCCACTACAGCTGTATTTGTAGCAGATCATTTTTTCAGATGACCAGAAGACTTATTTTCATCTGCCTGTCAATTAATTCATTTATCATTTCAACCTTTCCTTTAAGTAGAATTGTTCTCTCATAACTTTCATACCATTGCAAATTTTTACCATGTGGGGGAATCAAATAAAACTCACCAGAGCTTTCAATCAGTGTGAGAGAGAAAGAGATGAAGAAAAGTGCAGCAACAGTACATTTGAGAGCAAAATCATTTATTCTGCCTAACAATGAAACTGCTATCTAGAAAAAAGGCTGATTATTCATAATGCTACCCTCTGCTATTACCAGAACTCTCTACAGCCTCGATCAGCTTCTATCCAACATGTTTAACATGTCAAAGTCAATTAGCCTTTCCACACATTTATTTCACAGCACTACTTCAGTACACAACCAGACACCCAAGTATCAAATTGAGTACACATTTGTTTGTATGTATTTAATATTATCCTAGCTCTTGACAGCTTTAAAAGAACATCATATCTTAGAAATAATTGAGCTTTCTTTAGGAGAAGATCTGCCATGCAAAGTTAGTTTTTCTGTTCATGTTGGAGGGTTACTATTTTAAAGTACGAAGACAGATTGTGTAATTGTATATCTTTATAGTTACATAATGCAATAAACAGTATAATTTGTAACAAGAGTAACAAAGGACAGGGATAACTCCCCTAGCAAAAACCCTGCAACAGCAAACTCCAGATAACATGAAATGAATAATAAAATGAAAAATAAGGGCTATACCAAGGAGCACACGGCAAGCAAACTGACCACTCAGATTTGGCTCAGATCCATCAGGCCCTCTAATCCTTGCAACAACACCCATCCCAAGCCATGCACTGGAATCACTGATTGCTCAGGTAAAGCAACAGTACATCGACATAGATCAGATGCAGTACAGTCAGAATCAGACTTTTCAGCCCCAGTGACACAGGACCAGGCTGTCTCTGCCTGTGGTCCCACTTTTAGAGGAATCAGATCTTTCAGCTAACTGCTCAAGAGGTGTCTAACAGCAATGCCACCACTTCTGGCATCAAGCTGCTCTTGAAAGAAACATAACTATTCTCACTCCTGCATCTGAGCCAACACACTCCATGTCTCTGCTCAATTTGCCCCATGGCCAGACAGCCACTCACAGAACTCTGACAACACCCTGCAAATAGTTTCATCTACCCAAGAAGCACCACAGCTTCACCTGAAGTACCTGAAGGTATAAAATCCACCATGTCCTCGGCCCCACCACTGCCCACCACCATCAGCTCCCACACAACCAGTGGAATTAACAGCAGTTTGCTCACCCTCCAGAGAACAGCTTCTGCTGCCTGGTAGTCTCAGCACTGCACCTCAAACACAGGGCCCAATCTCCAGAACCCTCACTGCTCTCCCACTCCACTCCAACTGAACATCTTTTTATAGCCCAGCCTCCTCACACTGCATAGAACTCCTAGGCTGACTTAATGCTCCTCTGCCTGGTAGGGGGTGGGAATGTGCCTCCCCACATGGCTTTACAAATACTGAACAACTTCACATAACCTCTGCAAAAACAGAGAAACTGTCATGTCTCCAGTCAGGGAAAGCAGGGCAGCAGCTTCAGCATCATCCTCTGCTGCCTGTCAGCACCAAACCTGTGCCCTCCTTCCATGAGCACAGGGAGCTGGGAGCAGCTCTGCAGGCCATAAGCAGATCAGCTCCTCACACACAAAAAAACTTGTCTGAAGTGCCCAGTGCCCATGAGCTCTGAAGCCGATTTCCACACAGTACTAGCAGGGCTCCCTTTTGGATGAATCACCTTCACAGCCAAAAAATGAAAGCCTGAGGAAAGCTTATTATCCATGAAATGCAGACTTGCCAAAAAATACAAAGCCTCCAGCATTTTGGTATTAGCTTGCCTTGGAGCATCCCTGCTATTTTAATGGAAAGACACCTAAGCATACAAATACTGAAGTACAGGTTAGGAAAAGCCAGCTGAAACCTCTGGCCCATTTTTTTTTCCTGCTCACATTTCTGAAACAAGCCCATTTGGGGGCCAGGATATTCCTCTGTTGTCATATCACCAAAATCAGCACAATCTAAACTATCCCTGGAAATTCAGCTTCAAAATACATGTATCCCTCTTTCGCACTGTACACTGCATGTACCTGATACCAAAAGAGAATAACAAAAATCAATTGACTTTTGTGCTCTCTTTTGTTCTTCTGAATAAATACACAAGATACTGAAGATTTTCCCCTAAGATACTTCAGCAAAGCTCCTGCAGTCATTTTTTCTGTCTAGTGAGCATTTCCTCTAATAAATGCAACACCCAGAAATATTGAGCTTGTGTCACAGAGACACTTCCTTACAGCTGAGAATCATCAGGCTTTGAATCCAGCTAAAAAGAGATGAATTAGCAAATAGAGATGACATGTTATCATTTCCTGTAAGAGAAGGCCTCACCAGCACACATGATGAATTCTGAGACCCGTACATTATATAAATAAATAGCCATTATTTTTTTAAAATTATTATTTAGAGCATCAGGCAAGCTTTCTTCAGTTTGAGATTTGACCAAAAGGTATCACACTTTTTTTCCATTTACAGCATATACCTTGTACAGCACTGACAACAATTCAAATGAGGTAAAAAAGCTCCCCAAATACTTTGGCATTTTCTGGATGACCATGAATTTTAATAACAATTTCAATTAATTAAGACAGGAAAACACCAGAATCATAACAACAGTGCTATTTTATTGGCAGGCTGTTGTGGGAAAGAATATTCATCTGTTGGCCAGCAATAAAAATCAAAATAACTGCAAGTAGCCTTGAGGCTAGAATCTGCTCTTATTTACACCATGCAGGTAATTCCATTTATTGCAGTGGGATTTCTCCAGGCAGATATTGTGGTTGTGCAGCTGTTTAACACCTCGTGCAGAATAGAGCCCTCCAAGGAAAATCTGGCTCTGTGCATTTACGCTTTCTCTCAGGCATATACTCATATGGGGCTATAATGAAATGTTAAAAAATAAAGTAAAATAAAATTGGGGACTTCTGAATCAGGTTTTAACTCTGCCCTCCTGAACAAGGTTCCAACTGAACTACCAAGTTCCTATTGTGCCTGGGAGGCACAAGAAAGTATAAGGGGTAAAGAGCTCATTTCTCCATTACTAATTCCTATTATTGTTAACTGGAGTGAAAAATAAGGTGGATCAGAGTGAAGATGTCAGAAGAAAAAAAGATCAAATAACTTGAACAGGCAATAATAGTATATTGACTAGCTAGAGCAGCTGGATTACAGGTGGTAGTTTTTCCTCCCAAAGAATGGCTGGCATAGGAAACAATTTCTAAGGTGAAACAGAGGACACTGGGCAGGAGAGCAAGAGAACTATAGTCTTTGAATGAGTCCACCACTGCAGCAACACTGAAGTTAGAAATCCTTCTGGAAGGAGGAAGGTAGACTTGGCATTACACATGCCCTTAAGTTTCCTCCTGCTCCCTTGTGTTTCTCAATAACTGTGGCAGGATGAATGCATCACTGGAAGAGAGCGAGTGAGATGGCTGGGGATCTGTGGGGGTCTGTCCCCAGCAAAGAGCCTTTCTGTAAGGCTGCACATGAAGATGATGCCTTTGTTTGAGACCACTACACCAGGAAACATTGGTTTCCAAGATTTCTCACATACCTGGAATAATGCACCTGCTTAAGTTTGAAAGCAGTAACTGTTTCGTACCTACAGTACCCACTGAAGGCCAGGCAGACAAGTGTGTCTTTTGTGGAGATGGAAGGTGCAAAAAGGTCTCAGGTAAATAGCCTAGCAGAGAGAAAACACTGTGTTCATTGCACAATAAATATGACATTTTTCTTTACAAAATACTTCAGATTGATGGCAGCGTATTGGCACAGAGAAGTTATCTGTACTTGGTGACTAATTCACCTTCGCAAGATACTGCTTCTACAGCTGATAACAGACCCAGACAGGAGTCCTGCCCCTGAAGTCATTTCCCATTAATTTCAATCACTCTGAAAGGTTCAGCCACCAAAAGTTTCCAAGTCAGCTGGCACACAAATGTCTAGGCCCTGCCAATATTTTGTGATCCACTTACTGTAAATACAAAGCTAATGAATGTTCATTCCCTTGATGATTAGTTTGGAAAGTGGAGACATGTCTAAGAGTATTTACAAGGTATGTGTCCTCCAAAAAATTGACAAATATTCTGACACATCTTAAAAAAGAGGCACCAATGCCTTCAGCCAAAGAAATAATGCTAATTGTGTATAAAGACATGACTTATTCCACTAGCCTCAATGTATTAATTTCATTACCTCTGAACATGGCATTTGTTAAATATGCTGACCCCATAGCTTGGGAAAGGACAGGAACAAGATTCATGCAGATGAAAACTTTTAGCTGTTGTAGAAGCCTTTGCATAATTGTGATGGCAATTACATAATAAAATAAAAAAAATCTGTTTTATAATAAAATTTTTTTTAAAAATCTGTGTATTTCATACTTCTTCCACCAGCAATGGCTCCTAATGTTCCCTTGGCAGGACTTAAGACTGCAGCTCTTCCAGCAAACAGGATGCTCCAACTCTGGGAGAAAAGCAGACCTGCAAGTGACAATTAGATGTGCCAGGCTTGCTGTCCCCCTTTCCACTGAGCTAAGCTAGAATACAGCAATGCACTATCAACAGCCTACAAGAAAACTTGAATCCTTGATGCCCAGAGGGGCTGATCTTCTAAATATCTAGGCACAAGGTCAAAACTGTTTCATAAATGCACTCCTGTGCAAACAGACATGCAGACTTAACAGACTTAAACATAAAGTTGAAAATTATGTTTTAACGATATTGTGTTAAGAATCACCAAGAAGAAAATTGGTTTTTTCTTCACTACAACTCTCTAAAGGCAGATGAAGAGACCCTTTGAAGACACTGAGAATTTAGCAATATAAAGCAGCTTGCAGATGCTGTGTCTGACAAAACACATCTCCTGTAAGGCTCTACTCCCTGACTGCCATCTTAGAGAGCTTTGAGGCATCAGGGAAGTTGAATGCAATCTTCCAGCCCTCGGTCATTCCACAAGAGAGTGTCTTCCAAGGAAGGGAAGAGGAAACGTGCCTGTGTGTGTGATCATGTTGCCATCTAGTGACCGCAGCCCGGAGACCGCTCAAGCCCTGACACTGTTCCACAGGCACAGACAATGTGTGAAGCAACAGGGTCTTGCATAACTGAGACCTTGGGGGAAGTCAGAGCTGTTGCCAAGATATACAAGATTATTCCTCCTAAAGCTGCAAGTCTCACTTAGGCCCAAACAGCAAGTTCCTTGATAAGGAACTAAGAGCTCACAGATATTGTTGGATCATTTTTGTGCCACCCTTGAGCTCCAGAGCCAACAGGGCAGTTTCCTTTCCTGAATTCACACCAAAAGTTGGCAAGACCAGCCACAACAATCTGTTGTGGGCAGCTGGTCTCCCCATTCCTGTGAGATTCACTCAACTTTCCCTGTTAAGGGCAAAGAAGAGCAAAACATCCCAGCCTGGGTATGTGCAAGAAGAGTGCAAGGCCTCCTCTACTGTTCTTGCACGTGGATTCAATGGCAGATTTTCTGCAACAGGGGAAAATGCAGTTATTTTCTACAGCCCAAAGGATGTAGGTATCCAGCATTCTTTTAAGTTACCAAAATATGTAGGCAAATAAAACCTTGGTATTACACACATGCACTTTTGAAATCAAACTCTCACTTTCTCTTTAGGCACTTTTTACTGATCCTGGCCCAAGACACTCCATTTCCATCAATTATGGTGGCAAACTTCTTTCTTGGCAGTTTGAGAATGCCAACTTTCTTTCATAAATGTGTCCATTCACATATCAGTAAGTGTATGGATGTGTGTGTGTGTGTGTGTGTGCATTTGTGAGTTGATTTGTATATATATTTTATATATATATGTATACAAACAGAGTACCTTCCCCAGGGCCCAATACCCAGTCTTTTTATTCTTTTCCCTATATACACATTGCTACAAAATCAGTTGTAAACAACTGAACAAAGATGTTGAGATGCCCTTATATGGGACTTCCTGCAGTATCTGTTGAGAGTTTTTCACCCTGCCTAATCACTAAATATTAGCACCCCAAAGTCCCTGGATCCCAAAAATTTCTTCTCCCCACAGTATCAGGTTTTGTGGAATTTATCCTTGTTTTTCCCCCCTGTGAAAGAAGACTTTCTGTTTCCACCTTAACAGTCACACATCAATATGGATCATATCATCTGGATGGTTCTGTCTATAAACACACACAGCTACAAAAATAGCTCAGGTGTCTTCTTCCTGTTATTCTCTGTATTATCTCTTTTTCTTTAGGATCTGAAAAGCCATTGATTTGTTTTTGCTAAAATATAAATAAATTTTAGGTCA